ATAGCAAAAAGCCTCTCCAAAAAAAAAATGGTGAATGAAAAAGGTGAGCCATGAATAAGTGGGGAAGATGGCTGCTGAGCAGGAAAAGGACTTAACTCTTTAAATCCTAAAGAGATACAATAAGGGAGCTCAGTCAATAAACACTGGCATGCTAGTTTGTCTTTTTATTATTCTCACCAAAAAAGTAAGATATTTACTTAATATTAGGTTGTTGGGAAAGTCATGATGCATTTTTCTATGCAAAAACACATCATGACTTTCCCAATGACCCAAAAGACACCAATGAAGGAAAAAAGCTCTACTGTCTATACATGGGACATTATAGTCAAACCTTTCAGGATAGACAAGTTCTCAATACTTCCTTTCACTTTTCTTTTTTTCCCATTTAATTGTCGTACATCTTTATAGCATACAATATGGTTTTTAAAGCACGCACACAATATGTTATAATCAAACCAAGGATAATACCATTTACATAATTTTTCCTTTTTTTTTTTTTAAAGAGATTTTTGCTACAGGTCATCTGTGCTCACCACAAAGACAGAGAGAGAGAAAATGAGAAATTACCCCCAAGGGTGATGGCCATGCTATAATCTCTTCTCCCTTCTTCTCTCAGGATCTTGGGCATGCACACACACATGCCTAGTATGAGTTTTATGCTGCCAGGTCTGGGACTCAAACCATGGTTGGCTACGTGGGAGTCCAGTGACATAACCATTACGCCATCTGCTGGGCCAACCCCCCCATTTACATAATTTTCAACAAAGAATCGTACATTCTCACGTCTACTAAATGCTTTTTCCCTGAACCCCTCCCATCACTCTCCACCTCTCTCTATTGAAGTCTCTGGTATTTACATTTGCCCTCTCTACTGTTATGTTTTCAAATCTTTCCATTTCTTCCATAGAGTGCAGACATTAGTTTATAAGGAGCAGAGACATACCTTCTGCTTTTCTTTGAATGTCTAACCTCCCTCTTCTGCACATCTTACTTTTTAAGACCAGAAAATATGATATTAAAGGGAAAAAACGATCACACTGAATATAATGACCTAGTTCTAAAACTGCCTGAAAGTAAATGAATCCATCTTTATTGGCACATAATTTTACACAATTTTTTTTTTTGTGGGGCTGAAAATTCTTTGTGCACAACTTATCTGCCTGGATGTGGACCTTTGGAATGTTCTACTAGAAATCTAGGTATTCCATGCTTTTACAATTAGATTTCATACTGTGAGAGAATACTTGGAGCAGTTCCAGGGTCTCAGCTTTGGAGTCAGCAGTTTAGTTCTTGCTTCACCTGAAATTCATTATCTCTGTAACCAAAATCTTTAAAAAGTTCACTGCATTTTAGTAATCTGTGAAATGGGACTAATAACTAAAGACTTTATAAGATTGACACAATGAAATGAAACAAGGTATTAGGAAGACAGGACAAAAGTTGTGTTTTTTAGGGGTTCCAAGTTGTTACTACTTATCAACTTTTAGTATTTCAAGCATATAAAATATCCAAGACTGCACCATGACAGGAAAGTCAAAGCCCTCACTTCCTGAGTACAGCAGTATCCCACTACTGGTAGGTGTACCAGAACTGAAGTGTTCCATGTAACTTCTTCCCTTAGCCTCACATCAAAACAGTCACAACGACAGATTTCAGTCTGCATCTAGCTGAGAAGGCAGTGAATAGAAGACAACCTGTCCTAAAAATCCACTGCAAGTGAATTGGCCTAAGAATATCAGCCATGGCTGCTCATGAATATCTTTACTTTCTGGCTTTCACTTGTTTCCAATTGGACAACTGGATTTCATAAAAGTTAGATGTTACTTACAATTTGTATACTACTTTAAAAGTCTGAAAAGTTTTTTTTTTCCTCTCCCACATAGGTTTAATAAACACTTATGTTGGGACCGGCAGTTGGTGTAATGGCTATGTCACTGGACTCCCATGTAGTCGACTGCGGTTTGAGTCCTGGACCCGGTGGCTTAAACTCATGCCGGGCGCATGTGTGTGTGTGCCCAAGATCCTGACAGGAGAATGGAGGAGAAGGGATTGCGGCATGGCCATCCCACTTCGGGGGTGATTTCTCGCTTTCTGTCTCTCTGTCTCTATCTTTCTGGCAAGTGCACATAGCCTATAGCAAAAAGCCTCTCCAAAAAAAAAATGGTGAATGAAAAAGGTGAGCCATGAATAAGTGGGGAAGATGGCTGCTGAGCAGGAAAAGGACTTAACTCTTTAAATCCTAAAGAGATACAATAAGGGAGCTCAGTCAATAAACACTGGCATGCTAGTTTGTCTTTTTATTATTCTCACCAAAAAAGTAAGATATTTACTTAATATTAGGTTGTTGGGAAAGTCATGATGCATTTTTCTATGCAAAAACACATCATGACTTTCCCAATGACCCAAAAGACACCAATGAAGGAAAAAAGCTCTACTGTCTATACATGGGACATTATAGTCAAACCTTTCAGGATAGACAAGTTCTCAATACTTCCTTTCACTTTTCTTTTTTTCCCATTTAATTGTCGTACATCTTTATAGCATACAATATGGTTTTTAAAGCACGCACACAATATGTTATAATCAAACCAAGGATAATACCATTTACATAATTTTTCCTTTTTTTTTTTTTAAAGAGATTTTTGCTACAGGTCATCTGTGCTCACCACAAAGACAGAGAGAGAGAAAATGAGAAATTACCCCCAAGGGTGATGGCCATGCTATAATCTCTTCTCCCTTCTTCTCTCAGGATCTTGGGCATGCACACACACATGCCTAGTATGAGTTTTATGCTGCCAGGTCTGGGACTCAAACCATGGTTGGCTACGTGGGAGTCCAGTGACATAACCATTACGCCATCTGCTGGGCCAACCCCCCCATTTACATAATTTTCAACAAAGAATCGTACATTCTCACGTCTACTAAATGCTTTTTCCCTGAACCCCTCCCATCACTCTCCACCTCTCTCTATTGAAGTCTCTGGTATTTACATTTGCCCTCTCTACTGTTATGTTTTCAAATCTTTCCATTTCTTCCATAGAGTGCAGACATTAGTTTATAAGGAGCAGAGACATACCTTCTGCTTTTCTTTGAATGTCTAACCTCCCTCTTCTGCACATCTTACTTTTTAAGACCAGAAAATATGATATTAAAGGGAAAAAACGATCACACTGAATATAATGACCTAGTTCTAAAACTGCCTGAAAGTAAATGAATCCATCTTTATTGGCACATAATTTTACACAATTTTTTTTTTTGTGGGGCTGAAAATTCTTTGTGCACAACTTATCTGCCTGGATGTGGACCTTTGGAATGTTCTACTAGAAATCTAGGTATTCCATGCTTTTACAATTAGATTTCATACTGTGAGAGAATACTTGGAGCAGTTCCAGGGTCTCAGCTTTGGAGTCAGCAGTTTAGTTCTTGCTTCACCTGAAATTCATTATCTCTGTAACCAAAATCTTTAAAAAGTTCACTGCATTTTAGTAATCTGTGAAATGGGACTAATAACTAAAGACTTTATAAGATTGACACAATGAAATGAAACAAGGTATTAGGAAGACAGGACAAAAGTTGTGTTTTTTAGGGGTTCCAAGTTGTTACTACTTATCAACTTTTAGTATTTCAAGCATATAAAATATCCAAGACTGCACCATGACAGGAAAGTCAAAGCCCTCACTTCCTGAGTACAGCAGTATCCCACTACTGGTAGGTGTACCAGAACTGAAGTGTTCCATGTAACTTCTTCCCTTAGCCTCACATCAAAACAGTCACAACGACAGATTTCAGTCTGCATCTAGCTGAGAAGGCAGTGAATAGAAGACAACCTGTCCTAAAAATCCACTGCAAGTGACAATTAAGCAGATAGGCCACATGCAGAAAGTCTGAATTGTCATGGCCTAAGATGGAGTAAAATCTATGAGCAGCTTGCCTTGCACAATCCTGCAAGTTTTAAGAAACTCTGCTTCTGCTTACCTGCTTCCTTAGACAGGTCTCTGAAGCAAAGACACAGCATCCTATCAGCGTCAAAACTTTGGAAGGATTCCGGTCTAGATGGGGTTCTCCAACTTTTTAGATGGAGCAAGATGTCCTTCATAGTTGTATCATAAGGATATATTTTTGTTTGGGAAGTTTGTTTTAGGTTATCAAACTGCTAGTTTGAATGTATTAAGTGCACCACTCTGCCACGATGTGGATTCAGTTTCATGTTTTGGGCTTAGGTTTGAGTTTGGCTTTCTTCATCATGATTTTGCCCCCAAATATACTGTGACTAAATTGCCTTACTATGTATTACACATGAAAGCATTCTGGATGGAATCAAAGGAGAAGGATGGGGTAACTTAGCAAGCATGTTTAAAAACGACTCAGATATCTTAAACACTCCCAGATGCCAACTGACAACCTCACCACTTGAAACAAATATGCAGTCGCTGTGGTGAGGGAGAGGAAAAAGGCCACACCCAAAGTTAAGACTCTACAGTGAAGTGATACCAAGTTTCAGAATTTTAACTATTGCTATTTTCGGTACTGTTTTTCACGGTCAATGAATTCTTTAAATTCACACCAGGCCCAAAGTGAAAGAAAACGTCCCTCTGATCCTAATGACTTAGGTTACTTCGCTCAGGAAGGAGCAAGTCCAAGATGGAGAATTTCCCCAGGCACAGTTAGATTTCAGTCATTCCGTTGTAGAAGAGGGCCACACTCAAAAGACTACAGGCGACGAAGGGAGTCCCCAGGTGGCCGGTTGCCACTCTTCCCCTCCCCCTTAGGGGGTCAGAAAGGCAAGGAGGGCTGGGCTGTATCGACGCTGCGGTTACCTGACACACAAAGCCACCAAGTTCTCCGGATCCTTCTTTCGGTTCGGATGCTCCCTAAACCCCGCCATCCCGGAGGTCCCTCCTCCCGCGCACCCCACCCCCGCCGGCTCGGATGCCACAGCTTCCCCAGCCTCATCTGCATCCCGCCTCCGTGCCCTCGCCGCTGCACTCCTCCCCATTTACCTTGGCCACGTAGTCTTTCACCTCATCCAAGTCTCCGTTTTTCAGGGCCCACATGAACTCCTTGTCGCACATCGCTGCAGCGGGGCAGGCCGGCTGGCCGGGCAGAAGACGAAGCGGCGGTGGTGGCAGGGGCAGAGCTGACCGCCGGGCGAGGAGACGGAGAGAAGAGAAGGCGGACTAGGCTGCCAGACAGGCGAGGCAGTTGGCCGCGGCGACCGTTGGGGCGGGAGAAAGAAAGTTCTTTTGCAGCCACCGGGCCCAAGAGAGCAGGTTCCGCCTGGCCGGGGAGAAGCAGGCGCGTTTACACTTCCGGTTCACTCCCCGCTAGGGCCCTCCCTCAACTTCCTCTTCCTCTTCCCGTCGGCGGAACGCCCCGCTCCGGACCCCGCCCCTACCGCACGGGGGTGGGGGCGCGCCTGGGGCGAAAAGCTGGCGCTGGGCTGGAGGGGAGGGGCGGGGGGCGAGTGGGCGGGGCTAGGAGTCTGAGTTTAGGGGTCTGCGAAGCTAGGAGAGGCGGAGCTCGTGGATGGAGAGATATCTGATGGGCTCAGGACATTACTGCACCACCAGAATGAGAAAAGCTCTATTTAAAAAAATGTAATCTTGGAGGGCAGCTTGTTCCCCTTCTAAAAATGTCCAGTTAGAGTGTTTGATTTGGATTTTTTCCCTTTCTTTCCTTCTTCCCTCCTTTCCCCCTTCCCACTTTCTCCCCCTACCCTTCTTTTCCTCTTCCTTCATTTCTCCTATCCTTACTCTTCTCCCCTTTCCTCCTCCCCCACCCCCCCTTCCTCTTCTCCCTC